CAACCAACTTAGGTGTTTGGATGGTTGAGGTTTAGTATGTTTGGGGTTGATTGACATAGAATCTGATGTTTTGGTTTAGTATGTTTGGTTTTGTAAGAAAAAAATGTTAAGACTCTTGGTGGTGTCCATTTGACCCACTTAAAGTTAGCCCGGGGGGTGGTTGACATAGAATCTTGGGCATTAACCTCCTTAGTATACGGTAGGTTAATCTTGCTGCTTCGATAGGCAGGCAAGGAGAAATGGAATGACCCCAAGAGAACCCTCTAACCAATGGTTTTCCTTGATTCGGACTCCCGCAAACGGTTCATTCCCAACACCCGGACTGGGTCATTCCATACTGAGCGCCAGCAAGTTGCCCGTTGCCACTGAACTGCACTGAACCTGGAACCTCCATCGTAGCATAAATTTCTGCCTCCCCCCTTGTTCGATACCAAAATTGACTCGACGTAGCACTTTTTGCCTCCCATTCGCTTCCGAGCGCTTTTTGACGATTCGGGCAGAAATCCCATTCGGCCGTGTTTTCTTGATCCCCAGGGTCAAGTTGCCGCCAAAACGGGCACAAAAATGTGCAAAAAAAGTGCAAAACGAGCGCAAATCGGCGCAAAAAAGCGCAAACGAGCGCAAATTCAAAAAATGCTACGAATCGCAGGTAGCAAATTGCATTTGCGCGGATGTCTCGAGCACTTTCTGTTAAAACGAGCGTTTTTTTGAGAAGAACGTGTCACGAGCAAAAATATTTCGTAGCAAAAATTAAGGTAGCAATGGAGGCTCCAGGAATAGTGGCGAGTTGCCCACTAAGTTGCAGCGAGTTAGAACCTTTTTTGGAGGGGGTCACCGACCAACCTAGTTGCCTCAATCTTCGTTGTGTTTCATGCCATGGTATTGGTGTACATCCTGTCCAGGCCGTTTGCAAACAGGATGAGAACGACATATATATATATATATATACGTATATCCTGTACAAATGGGGAGTTCTGACGGGCCTTCAGAGGAGTCATACAACATGGCACTTCGCATGTGTTGATATCCTACAACCAGGTCAAATTGGTAAAATGGATGAAAACCATTGCACTACGGATTGTGCCTTGGCTGTATTCACATGGACATTGGCCATGTTGTGTGCAGGGTTTTAAATTTCTGTCCAGGTTTCGGGCTGGGCTCGAGCGGTGGGACTCCCGAGATGAACCGAATCAGGCCTTCACCGGAAAAGAGGAGGGCCCCAAAGGAAATGACGTCAAGGACTAGTCTCCCAGCCTCATGGAACCTGACGTCCGGGCACCGGTCCGTTGACAGGAAAATGGTCCAAACCAGGACCCCCCTGAAAAATCAGGTTCCACGCTGACTGGCGGAAGGGTAATACTTTTACGGATGGGTCAACTTTCAGCGTAGTGAAGGCTGGTGGGATCGAGGATCAAGGTATCAAGCACTTGACAGGTGGCACTGTTTGGCATGCATCTCCGCCGTGAAGTTGGGTGCACCCGTTTTGCAGGCATCGGTACCCACACCTTCCATTTGCTTAATTGTTGCTATTTCCCCCTGTTAGGGAATCTATCACTAGTGGAAATGGTGTTTGTATGTTTCAGGGGACTCAATCAAATGGAGTACAGTGTCAGAGCTCCCTGATGGGATATGGGTATGGGTCAAAATTCCAGCACCAGGGTTTCCCGCTGGTTTTAGTCCTTCTTTCCCTTTCCCAGGGTTCCATTCAGGGTACCTATTATTGAACCACGCCCATATAGATGTTCACATGCGTCGATGGAGCACTCCGACAAAAGTCCCAGCGCAGGGGGCGAGTCCGGAGCTCGGAGAGAGCGGGGGGAAGTTCGGTGCCTCGCATTTCGGCCCTCAAAAGGTCCACCTTTTTGTGGTTCCTGTTGGAGTAGGTGCCACTTTTTGGTAGTTACGCAGCTGAAAACCAAAAGGAGACCCACCGTTCTTGGGAAAAATACTCTTTTGCTTGGTGGGTACGGGATTCTGGGCCCAAAATGGCGTCCAATTCTGTTTCTACCAGGGTCACCGAGCACTGAAAGCGTCTCTTGGAGCTTTTACAACACAAAGGCCCTGGGCTACGGGGTGATGTGAGCTATACTCATGGCCTTGGCAGTTGCTTCTTTGGTTCTCTTTGGGTTGCACACTTTGTGGTGTAACTTGACACAAATTTCCCATTTACGCAACAAAGGGACTTCTGTCGCTCGACATCCCAGCATGGGGGCGGCTCCCGGGGCCAGATAGATAGTCCTTACCAAATATTCCCGAAAAGTGAACACACGCACACACTTGCATGGCTTTTATTATAGTCAGGATATGCTTCCTGCTGACCTCTGAAAGGCCAACATGATTTGACCGAGTTCCTTTGTTTTGCAGGTCTTCTCTTTCACAAGCAAATCTAAGCCTTGTTAAGTCCCTTGGCCGCTGGGCCGGTAAGAGCAACTTGACTCCATGCACAGCCCGCAGCTGAAGTCGCTTTGGCGTTTTTCGGAAGTTGCGATCTAGGGGAAAGGGTACACGAAAAAACAAAAACGGAATCGCCTAGGGCCTAGAAGTTCCTCGTTGATGTTTCAACACCTTGCCACTTCATCACCCGGTTTCCAATGTTTAATACGAGTTTCCTTTGGCGGAATGTGTTAGTGAAGTCTAGTTGAAACCCTGACAGAGCTGAGTTGGGCGGGAACTTTCGGCGCCACATGAGAGGCCGGTTCTCAGGCTCTCTCGCTTACCGAGGAGCCTGACCACCCTCGCACCAGGACCGATTTCGGGCCGTCGCGGTGGTTTTCCAGATGGGTAGCTCGCCCTTTTTGTAGGAGGCCCCCCAAAATGGTCTGATTTTCCTGTTGTTGTTTTTTTCAAACCACCGAAACGGGGTACCAACTCCGAATGAATGGAGAGGGTGGCAAGCAAGCATACGCCTATCTGCTTTTTTCTGGCATCCTGCCGCTTCCGCTCGACCTCCGGATCTAGACCCCAAAAGCTTTCAGTCGTGGTCAGGCTAGTCAAAGTGTGCAAGCTGAAGGGCCAGTTGCTTTGTAAATTGTTGTGCCACAAAGTCTCGACATGCAAGGAGATACCCAACCAGGCAGGGTTACTTTGTGTGTGTTAGTCAAGAGCCGATTTACATGTTAGATTGTGTCTAGAGTACTTTTTGATAGGTTGTTTGGAGACCAGAGATGTGCATCCGAACGAACCTCTTCCAACGGTCACTCTCTCTCTCTCTCTATACATATATACTACTGCACAAACCCTGATCATTTTTTTATCATGTTGTCTCAGGCTCTCTGACTGTGCCAGTAGTGTCGAAGCCTTTGTACATGAGCTCACCATGGTCGTGTACACCAGTTGTGTCCAGTTGTGCCGATGAATATAATGGCACTGACAAACACCTGGCGAGGCATGCCTGTCATGTCAAACGTTTATCTGATCAACAAAGTTCAATGCCGAATTGCAAATGGACATGTCTGAGTATTTCATGATTTTCCTCAGCATTGCATACAATCGCGGGCTCATCCGACAGTTTGGCAGTTAAGGTTGGGGTGGGGCTTGCGCCAGGCATTTTGCTGAGAAACGCAAACATGTTGTTTCGTGGCCCGCTGCGTAATTACACCTGTTGGTCGGGTCGTGCACATCGCTATATCTTGACCAGGTTCTTCCAATGGTGACGCCACTTCCCTTGTTCCTCGACCAGTGGCCACAATTTGTTTGTACGTCCGCAATTTTGGAGTCGACCAACATAAGTAGCGCCCATTGACTGGCTATTCATGAGTACCGTGGTGTGATTTTAGATGAAGCGGGCCTCTGCTAAATGCTGCTAGAATTTGGACTGCGCTTGTCTTGCCAACTTGTCACGCAAGCAAGCAGGTAAAGAGCGCAACATCGTAAAACAATTGCCACGCGCACTGTGCTGGCGTGGCTTCTTGCAATTGCCTCCTGGCCAAGATCTGTTTGCGGAACTTAGGCATTGCTTTTGGTGGATGAGTTGGGGGAAGCTTAGCCACTTCTCAATGCTTGGCAAGGGTTTCTTGCCGCCCAATCCGGATTGCGATCCTCAAGTCCCCTGTGTCGAGCTCTTTCATCCACGGGTCCCAAGAAACGCGGTCGCTCGCATTTTTCGGCTTCGAGCAACGCGCAGGGAGGAGCGCGAAGCGAATCAAGCGAGGGCCGAGGCATCCGATACGCCTTTAAAGAGGCTTTGCCTTGATGTGTCCAAATAGGGGGACTTCAAAAATGGCATTTGCCCTGTTCGTTCCCATTCAACCATTTCAAGAAAGGCCCTTGAAAAAACACGCCACACCCCCCAGTCTTAACAAGGCATTACTTCATTCTGTCATCGACAAAAGGCTTGTTAGGACAATGGCTGGCTAGGAAGCCTGTTTGGTTTGTGTGGCTAGATCGTTGAACATGGATGTCCCTTGCGCCGAGAAAGTCAAGCATGTTGAGACCTGACATGCGCACCTGTACCGAATTGGCGAAGAAACTGGTAGTGAGCACCGACAGGCGCAAGCGTGTTGATGATGCGATGGGTCTGTGTGAATGTTGTTGTCACATATCACTGGACGAATGTCATTGAAGGCTATAGTTGATTGAAACTTGCATGCGGAACATGCTTTCAGAGAGTTTGGGTTGGCCGGTGATTTGTCCAACCCAAGCCTTGAACATCAGCAAATACTCAGAGCTGCGCATCAAACCTGGGCTACACACTACCAAAGTGCACGAAGCAAAGCCACATGCCAGAATTCCTTGAGCAAGTCAGGCAATCATTGCATTTCCCAAGACGGTTCAGTCTAGGATGGCTTGGGAGAATGCGAAGCTTTGTGGATTGCTGCTCAGCACTGAGCAGCTCAGCCCACTGTTGACATTGAAGGCCACACAATTCTGGCAGTTTAAATTTGCCATGCGCAATAAAATTGGATGCAGGGTTGTTGGAATGGATTGGACGCCTTGCTTCTGGTCCACGAAACAGTTACCCGTTGAGTTGGCAATGTCTTGATCGAGTACCCACTATGCTGACTTAAGTTCCCTAGGCAAACGTGCTCCTCCGAAAGGAGGAGCTCTTTTCATGTCCAGTGAAGGATTTCACTCGGCTGTGGTTGACTTTCTTCTGATTTACCTGTTCATAAGCAGTGGTTTCTCTAAGGCTGCTTGGTTTGGCCCAGGACGGACAAGTCTTGGCGCAACCGCAACCGGTTCCACCAGGAATTGTCTCAAGGTCTGCAACTTCTAAGCTTGTAGGATATTCATTAAGGACCTTTTCGGGAAGGCTTTTGAAGGGACACCACACAGAGGCCAACCCATTTGCTTGGCCAAGCACCATGCAACAGGCGGTCAATTTTGAGCATGGGTGTCTGTTTTTTTGCAGGTGCCCTTTTTGGGGTGGCCTTAAAGCCAAAGGAAACCAGCTGTTTGGGAACCGAACGGGGCTCCGAGCAGGCGGAAGCTCAGGCGCGTGCCGCCGATGAGGCGAGCCACCAAAAGCAGCGGGAGGCGGGCGGTTTGGGTTTGTGACGATTGCAGGCGACATGCGGGGCCAAACCTTTGCCACAAGGAAGGTCGACCTCTGAATTTCAATGAATCTTTGCCAAGACAAAAAGACGACTTCTGTTGGATTAGACCCCATCCAACTCGCTGTCCTTGTTTTTAGCTGCACACAGCTGTTGTCGTCAGAACTTTTCCACAAGAAAATGTTTCTTGTGATGAATTCGACCCCCAGCTTGTTCATCAGTTGCGGGGTGAGCGGGATTTGTTTCTTCCAGGGGCACCCCCCTGATTGATACCTGGGAGGTTGATTGCTCAGAAACAACCCAACCAAACCTCATGCTTTTTGGCCGTGGTACGCGGGATTGAACTCGCATTGGCTGCGTGTCACAACGACTTGGACCCCCGTTTAGCAGTGTACAAGTGGAAGCAACCAGTGAAACCGTTTTTTTGAGGGGACGTGTTGTTGTTACCGCGCGCCGTGCATCAATTGTCAGAGTTTTGCGAAAATGATGGTTGCCCCCTAATAAATGAACTGATGTGTTCCACCTTGCTTGCAGGGCCACAGGACGATGGGAATTCCTCTAAAACCCACTTAAAAAATGGGGATGGGTCAAGACTGTCGCCCCTAAACAACTCCAAAGCAACTCCAAAGCGGTAATTAGAATGTGAGTTGCATGCGAAGAAGCTGTAGGGACGATGCTTCCTTTCTGTCAATCCTGGAAGTGGGCCGGGGGTCCTTCCTTTAAGCTGATGTTAGTCTTACCCTTCCTTTTGAAAGAAGGTAACTATGGTAGCTCTTTGAGGTCGGGTTGGGTTGGGGTCAAACGACCCTTGCCATGGGACCGTGTTCTTTTTTCTTCTTCTTTTTTTCCCCAACAGCTGAAAGCTTTGGGGTCTCAGCCCAGATAGGCTCCAGGGTTTCACCAGGGTTCCACCAAATTTCCACCAGGGTTCCACGAGGTTCTGCGAGGGCTGCGGGGTGGTGCGAGCACTAAAAAGAGCAGCGCATGCTGTTGGGGATATCACCTGAGCTTGTTTGTGTTCTTGTCACGTGATCGGATCGCCACCAAGGGACAGTTCTGTGTATCCGAAAGGAGCCCGCTTGGCTGTTTTTAATCTTCGCCTCGTGGTTTTCCGTTTACACAAACCTCAGCTGAAAAAAATGGTACCCTCCCGCCAATTAACATGGAGCCTGGCAGGAACCTGGAAGACCAGTGTCCCTTTTCAAGGGACCGGGTCGGTACCGAGCCTCAAGAAAAACCACCACATCCCATTCAACTCTTTGGGATTTAGACACCCGAAATGGATTTCCGTCCAACGCAGGACACCATATTCCGGGGAAGACCTCAATTCGTGACACTTTCACCTCAAAATTGGGAACCCAACAAGATCGTGGGACTTTCCACTCAAACTTGGAACCTCATAATTTTCGTGGGATTTCCGAGTCCCCCCCCCAAAAAAAAAGGTGCCCACAGCAGAACGACCGCCCCAGCTCAAGGGCTTCTTCCTGCAACCGGAACTTGGGAAGGCAGCCAGCGCCAACGAGCGCCTGGCCACTGCAAAGCGGAAGGCGGAGGAGGACTCCGATGTGTGTGTGTGTGTGTGTCTGTTTTTTTCTTGCTGGTTCTCAGCATCAGCTTCCCTCAGCATCAGCTTCCCTCAGCATCAGCTTCCCTCAGCATCAGCTTCCCTCAGCATCAGCTTCCCTCTAATTGGGTGGTTTGGTGGTCAAGGGTGGGGGTGGTCTCCCCGTTTTTCCCTTTGGTTGGGAAGTTTTGGGCTGGGTGAAATGACCATTGACCTGCAAGCTGTTGGTTTGCCTTGGTCCAAATCTTGCTGGTACGATAAGCAGGGAATGAGAAATGGAATGACCCCTACAATCAATCCTGGCCCTATGGTTTCCTTTAAGGAAAACCCAAACGGTTCCTTCCCAAAACCCGAAACGGTCATTCCCTACTGAGCACCAGCAAGAGCTTTTTTTGGGGAGGAGGGGAGCAGGGGATGCTGCCAAACCTTCCCTTTTCTCTTGGTGATTTCTTTCCCCACCCGTCTTGGTGTTAAGGGAACGTATCACTGGCACTTGGTTGCCCAGCACCACACCGATTTTGAGGCTATGCTATGCTCGTTCGGGGTGGTTTGGGGCATCTTTCAGGGTTCAACAGGAGGGTTCCAGGACCTTCCGGGGCAGGGGATACCACCTGGGCTGATGTTTTGGGGCGGGGGGAGGAAGGTGGGGGGAGGGCTCGCTGCTGTCACGCCCTGAGCCAATCCGCGCACAAGAGCTGGACTTTACACTTTTGGGGAAGACCATCAAGATCTGAAGATGCGCAGATTGGGCAGCTAGGCGATTGACTGGGCATTTGCGCTTGTTTTTGTGCTGCTGGATGGTTGCTTGGCCTTTTGGTTCTCAAGGATGTCGTTCACCCTCAAGGAGTGAGCAGAGCTTTCTTGTTCGGCACAGGGCTACTCCTGCGCACACCTGAGCCGCAGTCAAAACTCGGGTAGATGAAGGTTAGTAAGGTACAATCCGAAGCAGAAATAGCTTCGGATATCCGCCTTCTTAGTTCTAGAAGCATGGTTCTGGGTCGACCATTTTAATACAAATAGGACGCACCTGTTTTTGCGGAATGGGATCCTCATCTTTCTCCGCTTTGCGAGTTGCCCATTGGACCGCCCGTCGCGGGCTCGCGTTTCTCGCGAGGTCTCCGCGGCCAGCCAGAAAAAACAGAAGCAGGCCGGCCGCATCAACCCGTTGCGGTGCCTGCAGAGTTGTTGGGTGCTGTCGCACTGCAGTCTATGGACGTTGTGTTTTTCTTCTAGGAATGCCGACTGATACATAGCGAATTGTGAGTGTTTCCAAATTAGGTCCGCGGTTTGCCGTGTTTGAAAGGAAACCGAAACAAACCCAGCCATGATGAAATGTTCGTAGGTCCCCGTTTCTGTACCTCACATACATGGACAAGCCACGGGCATCGTGGTTCATAGTGCGTCAAGATGACAAAGAAGAAGCAAAGAGGGTCATCGGAATTCCAACTCATTCCCCCAGTCAGTCGGTTTTCTAGAGGGTCAGGTTCATTCCCAAACTCTCTTCTTGTACTGAGAACCAGCAAGACGACCACGTTCCCTTCTCGAGCTCCCTTCACCGAGTAAAAGTACCACAGTTGTTTGTTTGCTGGCTTCACAAAAAATGATCGAACCCGGAAGGGTTCCCTTTTGCTAGAAGGGGCACCAAACAACTGTGCATGTGTCAAAATAGGGAGACCGCCCATGTTTTTTCTCGATTGATCTCCTTTCAATCCAACATGGTACCCTCGGAAAGCAAACGCACACAACACCTGGGACACAGCCGCCATCTCGCTTGAAATTCGACGCATTCCCCAGGTGCTGGACCTGCGCGAAGAGGCGGAGAGGAAGATGAAGGAGGCGCCTCGTAGGCATGGTGCGCCACGAGCCAAACAACAGGGCCCGTGGGAGTTTTGGTATCTCAAGCAAGAACTTATCTTAATAGATATACATATATGTATGTATATACATATGTATATATATATGGATTTCCTACTTGCTGGTTGCCCGTACTTGGCTGATTTAGGTTTGGTGGTTTGGGGATGTGAACCCCTGTAGAGATGGGAAACCACTCCCAACCACCGATTCGGCTCCAAAGCACCAATTGGCCGGCTGGTGAACACCACATGTACGTTCGCTTCACCTTTGATTGTCCGCTTTTGTCGGAGAGGTCACTTTGGGTCCTGACCTAGATAGATCTAGCACCAGCCTTTTCCCAGGGGGCAATTTTGCCAAGAGAACAACTAGATTGCGCCTTTTGGACATTTGCCGATCCAGCTTTAACACATGTTCCAATGTCAGAAACATTACAACCTTGGAATAGTTTCTACAATCTGAATTCCACTGAAAAATGTGCATGAGCAACAGTGATTTCCTTTTGAAAGCCTTGCTGGAAAGTCTGGACTGCCATTCTTGTCCTGAGGCGCAGGTTCCGTCGCAGCTGTATGCACAGTGCAAGCTGAGCAAACAGAGTGGCCAAATCCGACCGATGTGCTTCAGATGTTCCAAGTGGCCCTAAGTAGCTTGGTCGAACTTACCATGTCAGCATTGAAAGGGTCCCAATTTGGGGCTGTGCCGCTTGATGTTCTTTTTGGTCTAGATGACAAAAGGGTCCAACAAGAAGGTCATTTGCAGTTTGCTTTGCTCATGGGCAGCCTTAAAGCAGACCCTGTTTTTGTGTTTCTCTTTTTTCTTTTTTTATTCCGTTGGTCTTTCTTTCTGTTGGTCGGTTTGACTCCGCCCCCGTTTTCCTGACTCCCTGAGTTCATGCACTTGGTTTTTGGGGAAGGACCATGGCAAACAAGTCCAAGCACACCTCCACGTTGGCATCTGGCTTAGAATCATAGTTCCACAGGGCTCCTTAAAAGATACATTTTGCAACTATTTGAAACATGGCTTTTTCAAGACCAAAATAAAGGGAAACCACCATTTACAAGGCAATGTTCAGGTGTATAATGTAAGGATCCCTGTTCCACGATGTCCGAGCGTTGCATTCCATTCGGGAATATGGCAACTTTTAGTTGGTGTTTTCGATTGGTTTGGGATGTGAACTTTTGGTTCTTGTACGGAAATGCGAACGCCCTTGCCCCCCCTCCCCTCCAAATCCAGACCGCCAAGTCGTCCAAACCTCCAAACCAAGCCACCAACTAGGGCTAAGGTGAAATTATGTTCTCGCAAACCTTGCAGTTGCTGAAAGATATGCTTTCGTCCCCCCTCTTGGCTTTAAAGGGAATCTATCACTACTGGAAATACTGCAGATGGACGAAAACCATTTCGCACCACCTCAAGAACCCTGGAATGATTCGATTCCCCTGTAGCTACCAACAAACAATGGTTTAACCATGGTGTCCAAGTGGAGCGAACAGATTTCGCAACCATCCACAGTATGACTAAAGGATCCAAATCCATCAGTAAGCTAAAAGATCTTACAGCCCAATGCCTTACTCGCCCGGAATTTCAGCCACAACAGTATGTTATTGGGTTTGTTTGTTCCAGGGGATTACTCTTCCTTCCATAATCTTAGCATTTGCAGGAGGGTGCCTGGAAGATGAGTTCCCCTTGTCCTTCCCACAAACAGAAGGCGCTTGTGGGTACCTGAAAGATCGGTTTCCCTTTAAAATGACCTGTCAAGTGCCACGAAAGAAAGGTAGGCTATCACTACCAGACATATGTTTGTTATGTCCAGGGCGGCATATCCCCCAAAAACAGAAGAAAACATCACCTCTCCCCCAAAGCACCTCCGCCCAAAAAACAGAAGACACGAAATCACGTCCCCTCCAAGAAATAGAAGAAACAATCAAGTCCCAAAAAAACGGAAGAAACAAAATCACGTCCCCCCCCCCAAAAAACAGAAGAAACAATCACCTCCCAACAAAAAAAACAAAAACAAAATCACCTCCCCAAAAACAAACACAAGAGAAAATCACCTCCCCCCAAAAAAAACAGAAGAAAAAAGCACCTCCCCAAAAAGAAACAGAAGAAAAGATCAGCTTCCCAAACACAAACAGAACAACAAGTCACCTCCGCAAAAACAAACAGAAGAAACAATCACCTCCCCAAAAGCAAACAGAAGAAAACATCAGCTTCCCAAAAACAAACACAAGAAAACAAATGCCTCCCAAAAACAAACACAAGAACAAAAATGCCTCCCCAAAAAACAGAAGAACAAAAGTCACCTCCCCCCAAAAACAAACACAAAAACAAATCACCTCCCCCCCAAAAAAACACAAGAACAAATGACCTCCCCAATGAAACAAATACAATAAGTCAGCTTCCCAACAACAAACAGAAGAAAATTCACCTCCCCAAAAGCAACCAGAAGAAAAAATCACCTTCCCAAAAACAAACAGAAGACAAAATCAGCTTCCCAAAAACAATCAGAAGAAAAAACAACCTCCCAAAAAACAAACAGAATAAAACCTTCCCAAAAACAAGCACAAGAAAAAATGCCTCCAAAGCAAAAACACAGAAGAACAAATCAGCGAACAAATCAGCTTCCCAAAAACAAACAGAAGAACAAATCAGCTTCCCAAAAACAATCAGAAGAAACAGTCACCTCCCCAAAAACAATCAGAAGAACAAACATCACTTCCCCCCCAAAACAGACAGAAGAATCAGAAGAACAGAAATCACCTCCCCAACAACAAGCAGAAGAACAAACATATCCTCCCAAAAAAAACAGAAGAGCAAACATCACCTCCCCCCAAACACAAACAGAAGAGCAAAACACACCTCCCCCCAAAAGAATACGAGCAAAACGCACCTTCCCCAAAAAAAACAGAAGAACAAACATCACCTCCCCCCCAAAAAACAGAAGAACAAAATCACCTCCCCAAAAACAAACAGAACAAACATCACCTTCCCCAAAAAAACACGAGAGCAACACGCACCTCCCCGCCCAAAAAAACAGAAGAACAAAAATCACCTCCCCCCAAAAAACAAAAGAAAAAATGACCTCCCCCCCAAAAAAAAACAAGAAGCAATCACTCAATCACCCCCAAAAAAAAACAACAAAAAAACACCTCCCTCCAAAAAGAACAGAATAAACAATATCTCCCCAAAAAACACAAGAAAAAAGACCTCCCCGAGAATTCGCACCCCGACCTTTAAGGAGGTAGTGCCACGACCCCTCCATTTTGGGCAACTCGTCGAGGCTGAGGCGGCGGAGGCGGCCGCTATGGAGGCCGCCATGGAGGCGGAGCGCTACAAGGAGCCATGGGCTGGCGCCGTTTTTTTTTTTTTTTTTTTTTTTTTGTGGTTTGCGGTGGTTTGGATTTTAATCATTTGTAGACAAAAGTCCCACTTCCTAAAAATCGGTGGTTTGGCTTTTAATGATTTGTAGAGAAAAGTCCAACTTCAGAAAAACAAGGGAAAAAACGGTGGCTGCCTTTTTGCTTTTCTCCCCGCGAGCATCCCACGGCTCGCCTGTGACCGATACAAAGGCCCCAGTTGTCGGCACTGAGCCTCAAAGTGGCCGAACTCAGGGCCCATGCGACGAAAGTTGAATGGGAGCAGCCCCAAACCATTGGATTTCTATTATGAGTAGAAATCAAACGCTTCAGCGCTTCGTTTTTTTCCCTGCAGCGGATCAACTCCGCCCGCCAATTGGAAAGCATGATGTTACTGCAACCACGAACCATTATGAGCCACATATGAGATTTGGCAGCATCATGACATCACCACGGAAACGAAACATTACGCGCTACATAGAGGCACAAACAACGTTTTAATGAATTCAGCATCATTGCAGCGCAAAACAAGCACCGCCAGAATTGAGCGCACCAAGCAGCTCCAAGCAGCACCCTGGCCAGCGCGCCAGATCACTTGGTTATAGTTTAAGTCTAATTATTAGAATTGAGCTATTTGTACCAGGATTTATCATACGTTCTTATTTATCATACAATCACCGTGGCACCTTGAGCACACCAAACAACCAGCACCTTGACTAGAGCCAACAGCACCAGAACCAGCATCTTGACTATAGCTATAACCTACAACAACACCCAAGCTGAATCGCAAAACAAGCGCCGGCCGCAACACCTCGAGCACAGCACCTTGAATAGGTCGCCAAAGAAGCCACAATCAACCGCACCTTGCGTGCTCCACATAGTACCCTCACCAGCACCAAGAACAGAACCTTGACCACGTCGCCAAGCAAGCCCTGCCAGCAGCCACCACGGCGCCTTGGGCACACAAACGGCACCCTGACCACCACCCAACACACCCGGATCAGCATCCTGACCAGCAGCTGCAGCAACTACCTGGCCCAATATCGCAGAATAAGCCCCACCTCTTTGGACGTAAGAACCCTCAAAGCTAAAGCTGGGCAAAAACAACCTTTGGTTGGTCCTCCACACAGCTGTCTCAGTCTTTTTCTCCAAACAGAGCATCTCGTGTTCTAGCCTGTTTTTCCCCAACAGCTGAAATCAATTTGGGGTTGTTTGGGGCAGCTTTCAGGCAGGGTTCAAAAGGAGATTTGGTTCCTTTTAGGGATTCCGCGGCTGGGGATACCGCCCTTTGCTCATTGTTGTCTTTATTGCAAAACAACAGTTGGTGGTTTGGATTGGTGGTTTGGATTTGGATTTGAACCCGTGGATTTGAACCCGTGGATTTGACCACCAAACCACCGATTCGGCTCCAAACCACCTTTTTTTGAACAGGATTCTTTCCCATCAACCCCTTCCCCCCAGAAAGCTAAACAGATTCCCATATTTGTTGGGCTCATGTTTGATTTTTTTTAGGCGCAACAGAGGCCTCGTCTTCCCATGGGCCAATTGGGCCAATGGACTGCGGCCTCGCCGCTCGCTCGCGAGGAGTACGTGGCTGAGGCGGAGCAAAGCGTCCAAGAGGCCTCGGTGTCCGCGGCGCAGTGTGCCAAGGAGGTCGCCCTGGCGATGCAGCAGGCGAGTTGGGGGGGGGGGGGGTGGGGGAGGGGGTGGGGGAGGGGGGGAGGGGAGGGGGGGAAAGTTTGGAAGTATGTGAGGTTCGAATGTTGGTGCTCAGCTTGTTGGGGAAACCGTGGAACGGATACTGCGTTGAGAGGGGATCGGCAAATTTTCAGCATCCTAGGGATCTCAAATGGACGGTTTGGGCGGAATCTTTTGCTGGGATATGTTTTTATCGAGTCGTGGAGCTTTTGCTTTCCCGCAAAAAGGTCAACGTTCGAAAAACTCCAGGCAGAGTGGTCAACCGACGGAGGCCGAATTCGAGTTTGGCAGGCGCAAAAGCTGCGCGCCGCAGCTGGGAAGATGATGATCCAGGAGTGCCAAAGATGGCAGGGTGCTACTGTGGATGGACGAAATCCTGCACCACCTAAGAAACCCTGGAACCATGATTCCACTGTAAATACCAACAAACAATGGTTCCAACCATGGTTTCTATGCAGGATTTCGTCCATCCACAGTATGTTTTTCTTGAGGCCCCCTAAAAGATCTAAAAGAAGGGAAGTTCGTTTGGGGCTACCCCCTCAAAATGGAGATCAGCCTCAGGAAGCGCGTGTTGCGTTGGCTTTCCGGCCATTTTATGGTCTACCCAGCTGTTTGGTTGGCACAGACCTCTAGATTGGCATGGAAACCAACAAAAAAAACGACGAATTTGTAGAGGACCTGGGCCCAGTTTGCTCGCCTTCAGGACCATGACCTCTGATTTCTTAGCGCCAATGGACGCGCGCTCGTGAAAGATGCGCTCGGAGAGTCGCGAGGGGCAAGCATGACCAAGATTTGTGTTTGACTCCAGGTGGAGGTTCTGGGGTGTGCCTTCAAACAAGCTTGGAAAGGATATACTACGCAATTATCAAAGATTGCTCGTTTGAAAACCATGATTCAATGAGTGATTTTCACCAATATCCACATCTTCCCCTCTAGATCTGAGCTACCTGACCCACAGCATCAACTTGCTGTCAACATGTGATTTGCCTTTTAAAGTGGCGCTGGGTGTTGCCAAGGCAAAACACAGTTCAACAGCAACGCCCCTTGATCCATTCGGGCCCGCTTTTAATCCCCCCACAGAAGCTATCACCAATCCATTTTCAAGTAAAACCAGATATCAAGTCAAGTCAGGTTTGCCAGCATCATATCCATTGGGCGCCCAGGATGGTTCCTTTGCTGGTTCACCCAGAAAAGCACACCTCTAGAGGACGTCTAGCAGAAAGCTGGCCCAGGGAACCTGTCTTGGAAAGAAGCTTGTTGTAAATTAATTTCAGCTACAAATGGGTGACATCGATGGTTTCACCGGACTTTAGATGGGTAAACCCAGTTGCCAGGAAAACCCACCGACTTTTTACCAAAAGGGAAATGAATGACTTCCACTAATCTTAGCCGGGGTTTCCATTCAGGGCCATGGCTTTTTTCGCCAAAAGGTCTGCTCACCCTGCCCACACCCGTGTCTCGAGTCCTTTAGCTGGGTCAAAGCCGTGCGTTTTGGGATCCCATTTTGGTTAGGTGAATTCGCCACTCATTTTAGAACCAAAAATGAGTGGTATTCCCATTTTTTGGAATAATTCACCACTCATTTTAGTGGTTGGATTGAATCGGATGTTCACTGGGGCTACGATTCGGCTTTTGACCCATGGCCAAATCAGAAAGCCAACGACAGTCCGACAAAAACAATTGATACAGTCGTTCTCATGATGCAGTCTAGAGTCTAAATCCTTTTGCCAATATGAGTTGAAGTCTATGCATCAGCCAGGTGGATATATGGGTTGTCAAGAAACATATTCTCATTCTTGCTGCAACAAGCACGTCCCACATGGGCCCTCAGCTAGGTAGTCTTGCAGATTCACAACATTTATCGCATGGCCCAGAACGAGATCCTTGCAGTTTGACATGAGACAAGCTAGACTCTTGTACTAAGCCGCAGTGGCTGGCGCCGATTTGCATGGGCCATACCAGTTTTGACGTGTGCATACTTGTCCTGGAAGTGATGCTTCTGCCCAAGACTTGGTTTCACTCTGCGTTTCTCGAAGGGACTCAGCATCATCAAGCTTCCTGTCACTGCCCCTGCGTCTGTTTATGTTTGTTCCCTTCGTTGGTTTTAGCCAGGACTTTCCGATGCCAGCCAAGACTCTAGGGGTTGATTCCCCATTATTTTCAGCCATCGTTCTTTTCAAAACCCGCCATTTTCCTAGGGTTTTTGGTGGTTTTCTAGAAAGACGGATTCCTGGAAAGAATGGGGAAGTTACTCCTAGAAAGACTGTGGGTAGGCTTCTGGACATGCCATCCACATCCTTGCTGCCATTTCCGACTCAAGTCACGGAAGGCTGCACTGCTGTTGCCTCCCGACCGTCCTTGTTCTCGCCTTAGGATCTCAGCCATATGCCGATAGTAAGTCGTGGGAAGGATCCTTGCAGTGGGTTGATGTTTTTCTTCCTAAAACAAGGATGTGTGTGTGTGTGGCTGAGTGCGCTTGTGTATGCGTTTGCGTCTCCGTGTTTGCGTCTCTGTGTCGCGGTCGTTGAGAACTTCAGGCTTTATGAAAGCCCGCAGGATAGGTGAAGGCCTAGTGGAGTTTGTTTGATCTCGCTTTTGAATATCCGTTTGTGCCAACCCACCAACTTGGACTTTGTTTGAACGAAACCTCCTTTGGGCTGATCTTAGGCGGAAACTGACATTAACCATTTTGTTGCAGGGTCCCTCATGTTCAGACATTGATATTTTGTTCTTCATCCGGTGACGGGATTCCAATGTCTGAAAGACCCTTCTTTTCTGGTATCAGCCTATTGTCAGGGCCCCAAGACTTGTAGACCCGGTCTTGGGCCCTGGAATTGGGGGCGCCCTTGTGGTGCATGCTTGACGAGCAGTGGACAGATGCCCAAGGCGCCAGCGGATGGATAGCCAGGCAGTTGTCAATAGAGGCAGAGTTACAAGATGTGCTTTGCGCATTTCACGGTGCTCGCTTGAACCACTGAAACCTGTGATTTGGTGCTTGGAGTCAAGGAATTTGTCCAAGCTTCCAACGGTCCTAAGCTGAAGACACTATGCTTCAGCACCAGACAGGTGTGTCCCGAAGAACACCGAAATATGGGGCTTGCCTTTGGTTTCCAGTCTGGAAGTTCTTAAGGTCGGATGAATCCGGAGACTGAGCGGGGGATTTTTTTCGTTTGGAAGACCAGAGAGAAGTTTCGGGGTACTCCTCAGATTTTGTATGATAGGTGGCCTTAGGTCAGCTTGTGTGAAAAATGATGGCACTGGTTGCAGGTTGCTCTAATCACTTGCCAGCGCCATCAGAATTTACCCCAAAAGGACACCTATGATTCGTAGGGTCGTCCGGATTCACATGAACATTGATAAACAGGTCTGGTTCATTGGAGGGGCGACCCTGAACCTTCACAGACCCCCCCTGCCTTTCAGACCTAAAGGCACCTCGGTCGGCTTCTTCTGGTCAGCTTAGGCATTGCGCCTGCCTTAAGATGCTGGAAGCCCAGAGTGAGCATGTGCCCTTTCAGCTTTTCTGTCGGGTGACTCCTGAAAAAAAGAACTTGTTCTTTTAGGTAAGAAGAGAACCCCTCAGACAACAGTCTTGATGTCTCATTTTAGTAAGGTGCACCAGTTGCACTCGCTCGTTATGCACTCTCTTGCCACGCTTTTAGAGCTCTCTTGGGCGAAAAAAGAAAAACTCAATGAAGGATCAACAGCTTCTCGTCACACGGATAGCTTCTCTTCTTCTATGGTTGGATGTTTACCAGACACTGCCCCCTTTCGGAAAGATTTGTCTTTCTTGTTTTTTCTGACGGAATCTGATGCAACAAGTTTGGCCTTGCAAGTGGCCAATCGGAGTCGTAAAAGTCTCAGCCTTCATCACGCGGCTTTAGAATCCATGGGCCATGTGTGCCTCTTCAGCCTGTCTCTGGTTGAATTGCTAGTTATGGAGTTGACAATATAAGCTTTGCTTCTGGTTATACGATGGATAGATGTGCCTACAGGTCTGAGATACCTACTACATCTCGAAATCCACACTCTCACATCGAATCCTAGGACCCATACTTACCTTGCCGGGGTGCATTGAAAGTCATGATCTCGTGCTCTCTACAACATAGATGTGAACCAGCATTCTTGTTGTCACCACATATCAGAAATCAAACATTGACACCTCAGGGCACAATTGAACAGCCCGTTGTCGGACCCCAGGACAAAGACACCTCGATACACCAGCATAGTCACCTCTTCGCCGAGCCTTTGTTCTTTCGGCAAATGTGACGAATTTCGATTTCCCACAAAAAGACAAGACTGCCAGCCAAAGGCTTGCATTGCCCTCCTATCCTTCACCAGGACTCTCCTCAGGGCAAGCTCCGCAATGACTTTGGCACTGCTTGATGATATCTGGTTGCTGTCAGCCAGTGGGCAACAGCGCCGAGATCTTGCTGCCTGGTACGCAACAAGTGAAGTACTAAAGGTCTGAGTTGCAAGCTGATCAACGAGACCAGGTGCCAGACCGCGGCATCTTAGCATTTCGTTTGCCAGATTTTGTCCGTATCACCACCGCTGCCTTAAGAGGTTCGGCTATGTCCGGGTTACTTGGGCAAGCGACTGTCGTCGTGGCAGATGGGGCCGCCAAATTTCGGGGGAGCCTGCTTTAACTCGAAGCAGGCCAATGCGAAACCGAACTGAGTCCCACACAAGGCAACCATAAAGCATCCTGACATCTGGCGAACAACCACCCGGTTTCCTTAGGCCGAACCAGGTTTTCCTGCTTGGCAGCAGCGGACCAAAAGGCAAACGCAGCAGGGGACACCCCTTCAAACCCACGGGTGTCGCTTGAGGTCCGTGCGCAGACCTGGTCCTCCCCCCAGCAATGCAGGTGGGCCTGGGGATTTGGGACTTCCGTTGGCTGAAAAGTTTTTTTTTTTTTGTGTTTAAAATCTTCCCTTGTTGGTTTTACAGGGAACCTAGCGCTACTGGACATTTTGTATCTTCCCTTGTTCATTTGCAGGAGGGTACCTGGAAGATCAGCTTTTTTCCTGTCAGGTTCCACGTCCATTTGCTGAAATGACAATTTTGGTCATTGTCCATGTTGGTTTTAAGAGGAATCTACCACTACTGGATATATCTGTTTTGTTAATCGAGCGGGCTGAGGCAAATGGAAGGGTAGCTTTCCTTTTTTGAAGAACAACTCATGTCAATGAAGGAACTGCGCCTGAACAACTTGGTTGTGATTCAGTTCATTGCAATGCCAACTTTTGTTGGGAGCTGAGCTATCCGTGCAACCGCCAGACTCAAAGCTGTGTCAATCAACGGTCAATATGCAGGATGCAGGTGCAATCCTCCAGTCAACGGTCTTCCCCTGAGCCCCAACAGATCACTGTGTCTTCTTTAGGGACCCCACAAAATGATTTCAGTTTCCTCGTGGTGTCCCTTTGAAACTCACCAAAGAACAGATACCAGCTACAATAGACGAGCCACCCATTGGATTTTTTCTGCCAGGCAACGACGACGACGAGCGACCATTGAGATCCAAAGGCTGAAGATGATTTCATACCGGATCCGGTGACCCGTCGTGATACCGTCGATTCGCAAGACGAAAGAGCATTAGTTTGCCTATTCCATAGCGAGCTTAGCTGGGAATAGCACCAGCTCACCATGACTTGGGGATCCCTTAATTCATCTTTTGGACATATTGCAAGATTTCCAGATTAGTAAGGCAGGGTGGATTGCTGGCAGCGCTCCAGCATCGACCAATGTTCCTGTCTCAGCTTATTGCACATGGTGCCAGTGCCACGAAGACAAAACCGGAAGTTTCGTGAGTTTGATCTAAGGGTGGTCAAATAGCATCGTCCCCTGGCCTCTTCAAAGGCCAGACAAGGGGACGCGAGGTTCACCAGTCTGAATCTTCCGTTCATGACTTGTGTCACACGACCTCACCCCAAATGGTGGTTTATGTGGGGAATATCCCTCCAACCACCTCATTTCAGGCAGGTGAAATATTATAATTTACCCAGACTTGTGAGTGTAGTGTGCCACTGCAAAATCAGAGCTGGCATCTTGCACAACGCCGTCAACTTATTGGGAGATGCCCCAATACCCCGACACACACACAGACACCAATCTTGGAGAAGTGTGCTGGCTGAGTGTGCCTCAGACCGTTAACAACTTGTTAGATCCAGCTAAACCATGTAGTGTGTATCTACATATGCGTCTACTTCGATTGGTTCATTTATATGCACGTTTGCCGCCGAGATGTTGGAGAGTGATCCGGGCAGGATCCACGATGTCTCGGAGCTTGTGAAAGTCAACCAATGTGAATGAATAGAGATCGAGAGCGGCATTTATTTGTGAATAAACATGTGCCAGGCTCAACCTGCAAGAGCCCTGGTAGTGTAAAACTTGTCAACAGACCTGTTGTTGGGTCTCGGGATCGCCATTTTGGGTGTGTCTCTTAGGGAGCCCAAAAAAAACGGGTTCCCCAACAAAAGCCTCCAAAGAGGGCACCAACTCCAAAATCAGCCGCTCGAATCGCATCGCTAGGCCTGCTGCCTGCCATTGGCGTCGGGGCGGCGGTTTACTTTGTCACTGGCTTCGCATCGATCTCTACCTTGGGCTTGGCGCTGTGCTCAGAAATGGGATGCAGGCAGGTGTCCTTTCGAGCGGGTCACCACCGTACCGAAACCCCACGGAATGATTGGATTCCCCAATGTAAATACCAACAAACGTAGCGGCTTCAACTTTTAACCATGATTTCAAGGTGGTGCGAAATGGATTTCGTCCATCCACAGTAGGTGTCCTTTTGATCGGTTAGTTTGGGCAAATAAATTGATAAAGTGGCACTGGTTTAGAAATTGGTGTTCTGCCCCATTTGCCAGGGAAGCCGATCTTTTTGTCCAAAAGGTCACCTATGGATCGGGAAGGACATTGGAAGGGGAGAAAGGAAGGAAAGAAGGGGAAGGCAGACGGACAGACAAATCGCAATCTTGAAAAGATGTATCCAAAACCTGTGTTAGACATTTGTGTTTTGGGATTCCGCTACCTGATAGATGCTCAAGGGCTTCCATTGACCTTCATTCGGACTTGGGAGTCAACGTTCTTGGCATGAGCCCGTTTTCGCTTCATTAAGGACAAAGGAGACACACCTTCTTTGCATCTTTTGAGATAGCTGCGACCCGCAACAGAAACGCAACAATTCAAGGCATGCTTGGAGGGTGGGCCACACAGGCTGCCAAGCGGCCGTCTGAAGATCCCAATCAGCATAGCAAAGGGTCCTGACGGCGACCCTTTCCACACCCAGAAATGAAGTTCCCTCGGCACATTTTTTGACGTGCCATGTTGCAAGCAATTGTTTGGATCACGCATCAGAAAGCTAGTTGGACAAGGGCCTGTTGTCTTAATCGAGAAAAAATACAATAATAAATACAATGATAAAAATAAGCAGCATGCATCAGTTTTTCACTTTTAACGTTGATAGTAAACAACTGCAAGCAAATAACACATCAGACAATCACTATCTACAATACAACTAATACGATAATCAACATCATAGCAACAACGCAGCAATTTAAGCGCGGCGGAACTCGATGTCCTTTTGGCTAAAGATAGATGGGTTCAGTTGGAGCAGAGATTGGCCAGATTGCCAGGCAACGAACAAACAGCCAGATGGGATCGATTCCGAACAAATGTTTGCTGATTTAGTGTGAGCCGCCGTGCGAAGGCAAGGGGAACTAGTTTGGAGGCATTTCAACAAAACCAACGCTTTAGGCGACACTTTGCCCAGGTTGGAGTTGGAGCTGGCGTTGGATACGGAGTTGGAAGGCTCGCTGATGTCCTCAGCTTTTTAAAACATGGTGATGCAGAGACATGTGCACAATGCAGGCGCCGAGCGTTGAGAGCTTTGCTCGACTGGAAAGGAACTTTGCCAGAGCTGCACTCCTGTTCGTTATCATGGAACCCTCCAGAGGGTCCCTTTTACAGGAAAATTGTCTTCAAAGACCCCGCAGTCAGATTCCTTGTTGGTGAACAGGAGGGTATCCATCTCAATGGTCTTAATTGACTGCATGAGTCTAGATGAGGCCAGCTTTACGACTGTCTAGTTCTGATGAGTACTAGACATAATCATGCCTTTGCTTCATCGTGATTAGAGACAGTGTAGGTGAGCTATACTTGCAGGAGAGCTTTGGCCAACATACTAGTAGTAGTAGTAGTAGTAGTAGTAGTAGTAGTAGTAGTAGTAGTAGTAGTAGTAATAGTAGTAGTAGTAGTAGTAGTAGTAATAGTAGTAGTAGTAGTAGTAGTAGTAGTAGTAGTAGTAGTAGTAACAGTAGTAGTAGTAGTAGTAGTAGTAGTAGTAGTAGTAGTAGTAGTAGTAGTAGTAGTAGTTTAAAGTAGTAGTACCATATTGGTTGTGCAACGTCGAGGCAAGGAAATGAACGTTGCGTACTTTCTTGCAGGATTTGCCTGGTTTAGCTGCTTTGCATACCCCCTATCACACGAATCGCACTTGTCCTGAACCTGTTGCTAGCTTTCTGCTGGGATATGTTTGGGCCGTTGAGCTATATCACTTTGTGCTGCGTGTTGTGCTGGCTTGCATGCATGTGACAATTCATGTCAAGCGGCGCAGAGGCTAGCCACAGCTGTCAGACATTGACGGCTCTGTTCACAGCGAATTGGAGTTCGAAATGGAGCTTTACCATCGGCTCAGATAAGACCAATGAATTTGTTTGTTTGGCGCAGTGCTGACACACGAACTGCCACTCCCGGGCTGACCATTCCGAAGCATTTTAACTAAACAGCACATGTGTTTTTGGAGGGACTTAGTAGCTGGGTGGGGGGGGGAAGAGCATTGCCCCATCCCAGCTGGATCGCCGACAAGATGGGCAAGAAGCAAGATGCTCAAAAGGTGTCGGTTCCTCAGTGCACTTCTACACTGGCCGGCTGTTGCGACTTCAGGACACTCCCTGGACCAACGTTGACATCACATGTAGCCAGCTGTCATATCACTTCACACCCGGCTGGTTGGAGCAAGCCGCAGGGGGGGGGGGAGCATTGCAGGGTTCAACCGCTTATCCCGCACGGTGCTTCAGGGCAGTTGGGACACCCACAACTAGACATTCCGCATAGAGAGGATGATTTGGAAGCCTCAGGCCAGATAATGCACACACACACACACTCTCAATGGTTTGTTTTGAGCTATGCCGCCTTAAAGGTTGGTTCCACTGTTGTTTGCGATGTTCCTACCCACATTTGTTGACGTTCAACTCTTGCTGTAGCAAGTGGGAACCAGTTGCATGCTTGGTTGGCCTGTAAACAGTGGTTGTGGGTGGATGGTGGCAATATCGGGCAAGCAAGATTGGCACCGTGCCCTGTTGGATTTCCAACAAGCTTATCAGGCCTGTTCCCGTCAAAGTAGCCTTCGGTGGTTGGAAGGCTGCTGGAAGGCTGTTGGAAGTTGGTCGGGAGGTGGTCGCGAGATGGTCGGAGAGTGGTCACGAGGTGGTCGGGAGTTGGTCGCGAGGTGGAGTTGGTCGGAGTGTGGTCGCAGAGTGGTTGGTGGGGGTCGTTTGGAAGTCGCAGACTGGTTCTAAAGGTGTGGTGCTGTGCGAGCTTGCGGTCGCCCAACGCGATATTGTGGCCAGGCAAGGCAATTCCGCACGTCAACTGCTTGTAAGCACAGTTTATAGCCTATCTGATCAGCAGGCTCGTGGATAAGCCATTTGGCAGTAGCACCGTGTCCACAATTTATTACAGAGGAAGATGAGGCCCAAACGCGCAGATGTGCGTGCAAAGAGTGGTTACTACAATGGTTAGGGGAGAGGCGAGAGGGTATGATTTGCTTGTTCCCAGGAAAGAGTATGTTTCAAAGTAGTATGGGTATGTGTCAACAAAGTCAATGTCTCACTGAATTCCTGCACCTCGTTTTGGGAAGACCATTGTAGTGGCAAACGCAAAGCTTGGACTTTGTTTGGTCAATCCACTCAAGGAAGTGAGACGTATGGGTTTGGACCTCAAAAACTGGTGTATGTGTGTCCTTTTTAGGTTAGTTTGCTTAGAAAGAACATTGGTTCAGATTGGCGTTATGCAGTTCCCAGGGAGCCCCATCTAATTTGCCCAAACATCCCATGAATTGCGAAATCTCCTGTTGCCCTTGCGCCAATGAAAGAAGCGGGAGCCAAGCAGCGAAGGCCATTGGAGTCCTTGCCCTGGGCCGTGCAGGCGCGGTCGGGTTTTGTGGCTCAAGACCTGGCAAGGTTGGGGGTTGATCAAGACTCCGTTCGGCCCCCAAATGACCCAGAAGGTTGGGGATACTCTCAACCATAAATGGCTGCGGATATCCGCGTTTCGAAGTTTACGTGGTTCTGGGTGGGCCGTTTTAATACCGATCGGGTTTGTGTTTTGTTTGGTTCTTGAGTCGGTACCGCTCTTTTTGCTACTGTTGCAGGGAAACCAAAACGAAGACCAAACTCCATTTTAGGTGGGGGGTCCGAGCCAGAAAGGACAAACCCACTTGCCCAAAGCGAATCGACCTTTCGACAGCTTCGGGAAACTCTTTGCTTTCCATTTTTAGAGGCCCCAAAAGGTGATCACCTTTTGTTTTCAGGTCCTTTCGGCAAGAGAGACGAAAAGGGGCCAACGAATGGATTGCCAGTCAGTTTGTCCTATCATGACTAGTTGTTTGCTCTCATGACTAGTTTTCTCCTTTCATGACCAGATGTGACTTTAAAGCAAGCCACAAACAGTTTCATTAGTGTTTCAGGCCCTTGTATGTTCCCCCAGCAGCACGGTGCAAAGGTTGCTCTTGTCTTTGACACTCGTTTGGTCCAAGAGGGACGTGTGGAGAGACTCACGTGGGTTCTCTTCACTGAGCAAGAGTTCCGCCCTGTTTCTATGTAATTGTTCCATGCCAGTGTGTCACCATAGCACATGTTTCAAGAGTTCCAGCTGTTTGGGTGAGCTGGCATCCGGAGTAACTCAGGTTCGCCCGGGCCCTGCCCCACCTGCACCGTTTTTTTTTTTTTTTTTTCTCGGAAGATGCCCCCATGGGCGCCGGAGGTTTGCCGGGATTCACCCATATTGTAAGAGACAGGGCTCCCTATATTTCCCTTTCGCGGTGGTTTTAAACATCACCTTGACCCATGAAAAGTGAGTGTCCCTTGGTGTGATGTTGGGATGGGGTTAGGCTCCTTCATGCGGACGGGATAGCTGTTCCCAGGAAACTCAATAGATTTCTGGAGAGTCTGCACTCAGATTGTCAAGCCTGTTCATGTGATGGTAAGTCCCTTGTAGAAGACATATCAGAAGCAAGAGCCGTAGTCTTGAGCACCACACTGACCAAGTCGGTACTGCAACAGCCATTTGAACAAATGTGTTCAAACAGGTGCTTCACTTTATAGACACTGAAGAATCATGTGAATTCCACTTGAGAGTTCCCAAACACGTGTGGTTTCTCAAAATGGGGGATCCTTTCAACAGTGTCCTTTTGGTTTCCCAGGAAAAACTATCGAACAAAGGTTCCCTTTTTTGAAACATATTTGGTGTCAGATTTCAATCAGAAGACGTTTGCCCGTCCTGCCGCGCGGTTTTTTCCCGACCGGTGGCCGACCCGGGCCGACCGACGCCAGGTGGCGCTTCAGAATTGGCAGGACCGGGCGAACGGAAGGCTGCAGCGATTGTAGCGTGGTTTAAGGCCTGTCGTTCTTTTAAGATGGTTTCCACTACCCCCAAACCACTACCCCAATGGGCTTAATGGGATATACATCCACTACTAAAGGGTACACCACACCCCAATTTAGCCTTGGGGGTGCGACCCATCTTGGAGTTTCGAGCGCCGAGGTTTATTTGAAGAAACCCACGGGACCGAAGTCCATGGAGCCAAATCCCCCTGTTTTTTTCGGGAACCGCTTGACGGCAAAGGGCAACGCAGTCCTGAAGATCGGCGATTCTGAACGCATTGAGCTAGCGATGGAGTGTGTCCAAACCTGCAAAGCATCTTCACAACTCAGAAGGGTTGGGTCAAAAACAGGCGCCCAAGATGGGTTGCCCTGGAAGATGGAAAAGGCTGAAACCAGCGGGCCCATGGTTTGGATTTTGACCCATACCCAGTCGGGGTGCCCTGTTGCGCGGCAAGTGCATCACCAAAGACGAAGTTCATGTCTTCGTCTTACGAGGAATCCCAGAAGGCCGCGGACCCGAAGCGCTATCTCGAAGCCAGCTGCGTGGTTGGCTAGCTGGTTGGAAGGGAGCCTTTCAAGGCGCCCTCTTGGTATCCAAGTCTGACTTTGGGTTGTAAGGCTCCCAGCTCCTGTGGTGCTGTGGTCGCGAAATCCAACGCACCACCGTGCAGGGGCCCAAAATAAATGAGTCGATTCCCATGTAAATCCCGACAATGGTTTCAACCATGGGCTTCAAAGTGCGAAGGGATTCCGTCCGTCCACAGTTGTTTTGTTGAACTAGAGTTATGTGTTGCGTTCAGGCTACTTCCGGCTCCTCAGCATGAGTAGACCACACAATTTGCAGGCGATAGTAGGTCGTTGAGATCTATCGTCCCAAGCATCAGTGATCGAAAGGCGGAACATATGCTTGCTTCAATTACTGACCTCTTGAGCAGACCCTTTCAATACAGTATTTGTGAGCGAGTGGGTGGACAAGGGAAATACAAAGAAAGCAACCATTCAAAGAAATCATCTCAATTACTTTACATGCACGGTGCCCTCATACATTACTTACCCCACAAAGGCAGGAGCCGACTTCCACACGACGTTTGTAATTCGCTGCTCAGCCTCCAACGGTCCGCCACATCTCTGCGTTGAATCTGCAGCTGCACTGCCCACTCCACCCACTCCACTGCACCAAAGCCCCAACCTCACCATTTCCGCGATCGGACTCTTGCCAGGAGTTTTTGACACGACAGGCTGCTGGAAGGCTGGAGTAAACCGCCAGCATCGATCCCCCCACACGGCTCTTTCTGGGCTGTTGAAAGGTAATCCGCAAGAAACTGGTCCCCTTTGTAGTGGCGTCCTATATGGATTATGGAAATCGGATCAGCCAACCCTCCCTTGGCCGACCCTTCTGAATACAAGGAATCCGATGTGCTCTTGGTGCACCCGGCTCATGCCACAGTGGACCTTAGGCGATTTGCTCTCTCGTGATAGACCCTGTCGGTGGTCGCGGCAAGCCGCCGCGACAGTTCCCTCATGTCCAGATGCCCTGAAGCTGGGGAGTTTCCTGGCTATGGCCCCGAGAGGTACAAGACTCAACATCTCTTCGTTGTCATTTGGAGTTCTTTCAACACAAAGAGCATCCTTGTTTGCTGTCCACTGAGCACATGAGCAAACGGACCCTGAGGCCTGCAAAACAAGTTGTTGCTATTGTGTATCGTCGGGGTTGCATGTGTCAAAAGCTGCCAGCCTCAGCGACGGTGATCTATGTTTGAGGAAAATGCTGTGTTTTGCCCTGGAAGAGAGCGCCCCACAAGTTGTGCGAACTGCCTTTGTATGGTTCCCAAACAGGGGCGACCAGTTCCAATTCGATGCCTCCGACAATGCCTCGGAGTTTGAAGCATTTTCAATTGCATCCAACACAAGAAGGCGATGTGCCTATGGGTGTGTTGAAATGGCGACTTGGAATCCGTAAATGGGTTAACATCGTGTTTTCTTGATTTTCCTTTCAACCATGGTGAAAAGGGGATTAGTAATCGTCAAAAAGTCACACTTCCCTTTGACACCGAAGAACAAAAAAAGACCTCGGCCTTCCTGTTCCACAGTCCGGGGCATTGCGCTCAAATTGATTCGGCGTCTTTTTTTGGGTGCGAGCCTTTTTGGAGGCTCGGTACGGTACCTGTTTGGGGGTCGGTTTAGGAACCCAAAGGGAAGCTGATTTTGCGGGCCCCTCAAGACAAAGCCACTTCCTTACTTACCAAAACCATGGACTTGGATTACACACGGGCCGGAATTGCGTTTCAGATATTCACGGAGTGATTGATGTGTTACTTGCATGCTCTGGGTCTTTCATTGCGGAATATAATACATATATATATAACACATGCATGGGTACAAGTTATGGGGTGTGTGATCGTATATTTTGTTTGTATGCAGATTCGTTCCTTTTGAGTTAAAAAGGCGGGCATGTGCCCTAAGACATGGGGCATGCCACTTGGGTAAGTTTGAGGGCCTTGTCCGAATCCGTTCAGTATGAAGATATTACTCTCCCACCAATTAACATGGAACCTGACGTTCGGCGGTCCTGGAAGACCATTTTCCGTTTAAAGGGACCGGGTCCCTGTCAGGTTCCATGTTACTTGGTGGTGGGGAGGGTATTACTTGTGTTTTTGTAGACGCAACCCTTTCTGTGTGTGTTCCAAAGAATGCCACGCGGAAGCTGCCCGAGTTTGGGTGTGAACCTGTATGGGTGAGTGAAACCAGCCCTGGTTTCAAAGGGAATCTATCACTGGACATTTGTCCAGCTGTAGGCAATCGGAAGGAACACTTGCTTGTGGTTTTAGAAAGAAAAAACGGCAAGGACAGCCACTTGTTCTTGTTCTTTTGTTTTTTTGCGGGGACGTTTTTCCCCCAACAAACCCACTCCCATTTGTTCTTGTCCCTTCAGTTCTGAGCCTCACTGCCATGGAGGCAGCTCTCTCCCGCGGATGTGGATGCCATCTGGGCCCAGTTCGAGCAATACGAGCCCACGCCTTCGCCTCGGGCCTTCGGACGGCCGGCGTTGGAAAAACCCCAGATGGGTGTGGCTCTTAAAATAGGGGAACCAACCCCGAAAATGGTGGTTTTCGGTGTCTCTTGAATTCGGCGGACCCCCCAAACTTTGGTTTTCCAGCTGGTTCTCTTTTTTAAAACCACCAAAAAAGGGGCACCCTCAAAAATGGCAAGTGAACCATAGTGGTTCATTTGCCCAAAAGGAAGCCAGAACAAACTGGGCAAGGCGGATATTTTTCCAGACCCTGGTTTTTAACACCCAGTTGACGGGCCCAAGATTGGCGAAGTCCAAATTGCTGGGTCATGTCCGCACCACCCTTTAGCAATTCGATTGATGGCTAGTGTTTCTGTTGCCCTTTTTGCATGGTGTTCCCAGATTGGGTGATTTGTTGGTCATGGTCCCAACTGCGTGTCCTTGAAAGTTGTTCCCGGAGGCAACGTGAGCAACTAGTCACACAATTACTTGAGATTGCTATTGGGAGACTTTACTTTTGCATTGATTAAACCTGCAAATCGTTTTTGTTGTTGTTTTTGTTTTAAGCAACCAAGAAAACATGAGAAACTAACCCACCATTCTGGCAAGCTGCGCGGAATGTAACGCGTTGCCCGCCTGAAAGCACACATCCCACACACCGAGGGCCAGCCTATCCGAGGGTTGCCAGGCTTAGGATTTCTTTGGTCTTTGCACAGCCAGTAGGATCTCACTCCCTGAGTTCCCGGACTTTATAGACTTTTTGAGAAGTCACATGTTAGTGGTAAACAAACATGTTTACTTCTTTGTTGGTCAACCCACTCGATCGGAAGTGAGTCGGATGTTCCGACGGAACCCACTTAATCGCTTGAAGCCAGATAACATGTTGACGGCATTCCAGGAAAGCCGCCTGGTGACGTGTTCCAGGGAACCTGCTTGGTTGCTTGAACTTTTACTCATGTATGCGCGGGTTTTCGGAAGCTGGTTTACCTGCAACCTTCCGCTCCTTCAGGTGCCAAGGTGCAAAGGTTAGGGATGCCACCTGGCTCTTTGGCGCCTCAAAAGCTTGTCTTCCGTTTGCTGAAGAATATGTTATTGTTATTTTTATTGTTACTATTTTTTTATTAATATTATGTTTACTTGTTGTTGTTTCCCCTTGTTGGTTTTAATGGGGGTCTATCCCTACTGGACATATTGTTGTTTTTCCCAGGCAGCGTGTCCGCAGATGGAGGCTATCAGGTCCCAAGCCAAACCGGAGAGCCGAGGCACGCCGCCAACGCTCGCGCACTGGTTCGAGGCAGCAGCGCGCCGGGCGCCCCGGGAACGGGACAGGGATCTGCCGGGGCCGTTCTTTTTTGGCAGCCCAAAAAGGCTGGGATTTGGTTCAACCAATTCTGGGGTTCAGTTGCCACCATAAAACAATGCTTGGGTTCATACAACCATTGTTTTCCGTTCAGGAGTGTCATCTAAATTGGGTCCCAAGGTCATTCGTTTAATGGGGGCAAAGAACCCTAGGGTCAAAGGCCAAAGAAAAAGCCGATTGTAGGTTGAAGTTGAGCAGCTCCCTTGCCAGATGTGGATGTAGCCTTTAGCTCTATGCCACGGGCTTGATGTGTGCCGTGGTCAAAAGACCGGTTCCTTTGCTTGGGGTTGACAGGGATGGTCATCCACCTGGCAAGGATCATGAGTAATGCCCTCCATTTGGTTAAGTTTTTTCCCCTGTTGGTTTTAAAGGGAATCTGTCACTACTGGAAACACGTTTATTTTTTTCAGGGGACTTAAGCAAATGGAGGATGCCTACCTATGGGAAGCATGGCCATAGGCCACTTAAGGAGGTTTTGCCATGGCAGGCGGACGCAGAAAAAACCGTGCGGTACACACCATCCCGGACTGGGTTGCAGCGGTGCCAGCCGTTGAGTGTTTTTTTGGTTTTGTGGAAGAATGGCCGGATGATGATCACTTGCTCGATCTGACACACTTTAGTTTTCGAGCAATATTGACTGCCAATGTGCTACAGAGCTTCGTCGAGGACGTAGTGCAACTAGTCAGACACACCTTCTGTCCAACTGGTCTCGTTTTGCGAACCTCGCTCTTCTTTTTGTTGTTCCTTTTTTTTCCGCCGCGCAACACCTTCACCAAAGGATGCCTTGGCAGAGCTTGCTTTACACGTGTATTACTCGAGCTATCAGGTGCGTATCAGCGCGGTCTTTTATAGTGCTTGAAAGCTGACTGCAAAAAATGGAGGTTTGAGGCGCTATGAGGGCCGTATGTCACCAGTACAGTGGCATGATGCTTTGCCTGCGAACATGCGCCCTGATTGGGATTCTTCGGATGAGTTAAACACGACTCCCCTAGATCAATGCAATGTCGCATAAGCCGGTGTCAGGCAGAGGAAGTTGCAAAGCACATTTTCAGATGTTCCCCCCTTTGAGGTGTTGGGCATCGGTGGTGATCATACATATATATATATATATATGTATGACATCAGTGTTTCTCAATCGAATATCCTTCATTTGTTGATGTGCTGAGCTCTGGGAAGTCGAGCAAGTGTTTGCTTCCAAGCTCCTGAAGGGGAACAAGGACCTGCCTTGTCGTCAGCTTTTGTCAGCTTCTAGAGGGCAGTGAGTGCGCGGTTGACAGTTGGCATTTATTGGCGCTATCACCCGATCTTGGCTACAATTATATACCTACGAGCGCAGAGGAAGACCTGACGTGGCCACGCATAAGAGAGACATCCGTACATATTGTGATATTCATTGCACACCATGTGCGGCTCTGGAGCATACTGCAAGTGCAGGGTGCTTTAAGACCAATTTAAGGCTCAAGGTCACGATCACAGGAGTTATTCATTTAGCTTCTGGTGTTATTAGATTTCCTGAAATGGTGGCACATTCAGGGCCTTGTGGGCTCGCGGCTGCACAGGGTACTTTCAACACTGCAATGAGACAGCGGCCATGGGTTTTATATCAAAACTTGATGCTAGATAGTAAATAGACCAACAGTTTGATATGCAAAAATAATGCAAAAGGGGTGGGTGACTTTATTCTTAAAGCCCCCCCCTCTCCGATATCAAACCAATAATACTCTTTGTTTCTGAAATCCCATGCGAACTGCCACGTTTGCGCACCATCGCTTGCATTCATCGTCGATCAACACGCAAACCTTGTGACTCTGATGGCCACTTTGGGGTAATGCCCCCTTCCAAGTTTGATGCAGCCAGAGCAAATTCATAGGCCCAAGTCTTTGTTGGACAACTCTGAAGCCGCCATAAAAAATGGTTGGTTTTCTTGTAGTGTCTTGAAGCACACCCAACAAAGGCACCACCAAAAGCACCCGAATGTGGCTCCGCCCTGTATTTTTTTGGGGGGGGACCCTTTCTGTTGTGCGGTGTTTAAAAGGACACCAACAGAAACGCCGTTGAAACCCGCCCTTTTGGATGGGACCCTAAAAGCGAAGCCGAGGCCATACTGTAGGTGGACAAAATCCTGGTCCACTTTCAAAACCCTGGTTGAAACCATGACGTTCCTTGGTATTTGCCTTGGGGAATCGACTCCTTCCCTTTGGTTTTCTGACAGGGTGGTGCGTTGGATGTATGGATTTCGCAACCATCAGTCTGCGTGCTTTGAATCGGCCCCCAAACCCGCGAAACCGCACCGCCCAGGTCAAGCAGCTCGCAGGCCTTTGAGACTTCGGGTTCGCTGGAGCGGAAGAGTTCGGAGTTGGCCTCAGGTTTCCCAAGAGGTTTCAACATGTGCCCCAAGACCTGCAAACACTTCTTGCAGGTTTGATCAAAAACCAAAGAGGTTGACAGTTGACAACGTCTTGCCTCCTTATGGTTTGGAATTGCGACAGCTAAGAGTCTTTGGAGTTGGTACCCTCCCGTCTATGGAGCCTGACGTTGGGTCCTGGACAAACTATCTTCCTTTTCAAGGGACCCTCTAGTGGGTTCCATGTGGACAGGAGGGTACCCCGGTTTTGGTTGGTTTTAAAGGGAACCAACAGGAAACGCACCATGTTGGGGGGTCCAGTTACTGGACTTTAGTTGCTGTTTGGGTTTGGACCAGTTTAGTGGTGAACAAGTACTTTGGTTACTTTTTTCGGCCATCCACTCAGGAAGGGAGATCTACATTTGGCCTTGGATCACAATGTCCCAGATGGCTGGGATCTTTGGAATTCAACCTGTTTGGAGGAAACGATGCGATTTTCACACTCACCTGCAAAACAAGTGTGATTGTTTGGGACAGGGGGGCTTCAATAGCCACCCAGAGCATGTCGAAGGACATCAATCAGTGGAATCAATATGACAGGGATTCTTCTAAGTTGCATTTATCCGAAGGTAACCTTAGTCTACCTTCATCCCTGCTACAGCGCAGGAGTTTGACACAAGTCCAACCAATACTCCGTCAGTCACGAGAGCTGGCGGGACATGTTAGTTGCAGCAGTTGGCAGCTTTCCGAGCTTGGTGAACAAGAAACAACACGACGAGCGACTGAGCCTTATTTCACAGGATGCTATCCCCCCCCCAAAGCTCCCCCCCCTAAATCTTGAGTGGGGGGGGGGGATAGCATTCTATGATTATTTCCTCTTGTTCTTTTCACGTGCATCTTGCTGCGTCTTGGTGTCCAGAGGCCTTGTGATTTTTTGTGCGTGCCTGAGCTCAGCTTTCCGATCGCTGTTCGAAGCTCATGCTGAGATGTTGACTCTGGTGTGGTGAAGAACTCTGAACGCAAGTAGGCCAATCCAAAGTCATCCCACTGTCTCGGAACTGCGTTGCCCTGGCAACACTGTCTCGGAAGGTTGCCCTCGCAGGCAGAATTCGCTGGAATTTTCATCCCGCCCACCTGGCTTGGCAGGTGTTCATTCATGACCTTAGTTGCCATGAAAAACCGGACTGATCTTTTTGACTGACTTGCGGGAACATGTGGAGAACTTGTCTCCCCTCTCACAAGCAAGACAACAGATTTGTGGTCAAAGACAAACCCAATTTCAAGGGAGAAGCCCAGCTCAGCACGCCTTCAATGATCTAAGAGTCTCAGGACCAACTTGCCATCCACAAAGGGCAACGCAGGACTACTTTCCCAATCCAATGCCGGGGAGACCTGGCCACGGTGACAGTTGCAACCCTCGGGTTCCTTACCCCCCCAAAAAGATGGCCGTGGGACCCACTTTGGATAGTGACCTCATCTGAACGCTAGCCGCTAAGCGATGAAATATGAAGCCCCTCAACTGCTTGGATGAGACTCCTTGATTTGGTGAAATATGACCCCCCCAAATTGTTTGGATGATGACGCTAGGCTCCTCAATGTGGTGAAATATGAGCCCACCTGGCATAGTCTTAATGGCCGGCCTGAACTTGAACCCAGCATGACCGCCAGGGTCCAGCCACCTTCAACTCTGGCGGCGGTCCGACCTTCGTGGCAACACAGGCTGCAGAGGCGGAGTGCGATGAGTGCCTGTGCTAGGCTGCCACAAGCTGTGTACATAGGTGTCCTTGCCAGGTAAATTTGGCTTGAAACTGTTTGACATGTATGGGTTCGGCTGGTTTAAGGTTATGATTTTGTTTTATTCTACTCACCTGGGATCCCATTTGTTTTACCAAAAGGACACCTATGATTGTGTATCTTGGCATTTTGCGCATGATTGACCGTATGATCAAAAGAAGGCTAGACAAATAGAGCAGAACAGAGGACTCACCACAGCCATGCAGTAGCAAGCATCCAAGGAACTGTCGGCACATACCATTTCATCACTATGCTGTGAGACGTTGAAGCGAAAATTGAGGAATAATGGCCACACGTAGAATCATTGGGCCTGGGGGCAGGGATCTAACAGGGAGCCCAAATAATTTGGGCTCCCTCCTCCCGCGTCCCTCCCCCCCCAGCCCCTGTGACAAGAGTCTGAGTTGTTCTCTTGCGGACTCACAATTGCTTCAGTACAGCGCAGCGATCTTACTGGCATGTTGGATCGTAGCTGGTTCTCGAGACGAACCCGATTGACCAACAAGTAGTGCAAGCAACACGACAACATCAGAGCCACATTGACACAACAGAACAATAACCTGAAATCAGAAGCCCCAACGCTAGAACCGCCGCCGCCGCCGCCACTCTCACCGCCACTACCACATCCAGCTTCCCTCTCCTGTCTCACTTTCACATCATCCTTTGCTTCATCTTCACCTGCTCCTCCTCCTCAACTACAGCTAACCTCAACCACATAGATACCCTTTTTGGTTGGTCAGGTCGAACATAGATGGTCCTGCTAGATTGAACCAGGTAAACCAAGCCTTGCCATCTATTGTCCACCCAACCACAAAGGAGCCATTTGCTTATTGATTTTGTTATTTCCCCTCTTGGTTTTCAAGTCAATCCATCA